ATCACAGGCAGAGCAACATGCATCCCATCGAAATTGATATCTACAGCATAGACATCTGCAAATGAAGAGGAATTATTTTTTCTGACAACAAAACACCTGAGTTTATGCTTTAGTCTGCTTCGTAGTGCATAGACCTTCTTAGTGAAATTTAAACTGTCTAGGAATAGAGTCTGGGAATGAGTAACTGAAATGCAAACATTTTATATTTGATGATTGCTACTTAAATGTCTTTCACAATTTTGAAAAGAAATACTAGAAAACCATGAATGTTGTAATTATAACTTTGTTCTTAATGACCTGTTCATCTTTTCTATCCTTCAGCTATTATAGGAATGTATTTATTGTAGCAACCTGTTGGGAAGTAAACAAGGAGATTTTCTTTAAGATGTATAGAATCATAGGATGGTTGGGGATGGAAGGGATCTTAAATATCACGTAGTACCAAATATCCTGCTGTAGGAAGGCAACCTTCCTAGGCCAAATTATGCAAAGCTGTATCAAACTTGGACTTGAACCTGTCCCGAGATGGGGAGTCCACTTCTCTGGGTAACCTCTTCCAGTGCCTCACCACACTTATAATGAGGTATTTTTTCCCCTAATACCTAATCTAAGCACATCCTCCTTCACTTTGAGGCTATTCCCCTTTGTCCTGTCACTACAGGCCTTTGTGAAAAGTACCTCTTCAGCCTTCTTGTAAGCCACTTCAGGTACTGGAAGGTTTCTCCAAGGTCACGTGAAGCATTCTCTTCTCCAGGCTGAATTGGGTCATTCATCAGTGGCAGGACGTCTGCATTAAATCAACAGACTTAGGTACACAGTGGTCTCTGGTATTCATGTACTCTGTTGGCCTCTTGAATGTACCCAGTAGGTTTGAGTATTATGTACACAGAGCCAAAGTCACAGTGATTGATACAGTTCTATGCTGATAAGATGGTCTGGAAACAGAACAATTAGTTGTAGTACAAATGAGTAATATTTCCTTTCAATTTTCTTGAATAGAAAGTATGCCATTGGCTTGCAGCTAAGAAGGTAAGGATTGTTTCAGGGAAGGATGTGATTTCTAATCCCCTACTTTCAAGCACATTTTAGAAGAGAAATCCCCCAGGAAGTAGTTATGTTATCTAAGCCAGAAAACACCACAAACTGTAGCTGTGCTGGTTTTCCATATGGGCCAGTTTTCTACTTCACAAAGCTATAATGTCGTTCAAAGTTCATTTTACTGGTAAGCATCATTGAGCCAAAATTGAGTTCAGAGCCCCAGGGTAAATAAATGTAAGCGTTTATCCAGAGTGCTATTTAAATTGGCATGAAATTTTGGGATCTTGGTTGCCTAGTTTGCTCATTTCTAGTGCTCTGCAGGCTTCATTAGGGCCCCTAAAATTGAGAAGCTACCTTTCTTTTATGGGGAAAAAATAGTTCTCTGCAAAACTGATGACTTGAAAAAATACGTAATCTGTACAGTCGACATGAACTCTATAATATGATAGCAGTCAAAGAGGGTTTTTATTTAAAGCTTATCTACATATTATCAAGCCAATAAGACACTGATAAAACTTGCTTTTAAAGTTAAGGTTTTTTTACCCATATTCCATGTAATTTTCCAATAGGATGAACTAAGCCTTCTTTTCCTTGCCAATCAAAATTGCTGCCTAAACATTTTTACTCCAGATAATGGAAGGATATAATGATGCATGCCTGAACTGAAGGCCTCTTGCTTTCATGAGTTAGACTGCATGTGTGTTGGCTTAAACACTGGTGGATCTTTATAAGATTTTAAGTAAATGATTTTTTTTTTTCCTGTTTCTTTAAAAATACTATTTGGAGTGGTAAATTGTATTTTAAAAGTATGCCTTCATCACTTGCTATCTTAATTTACTTGTTCCTTAAGAAATATTGAGTAAGAATGACTCAGAATGTTTTAATCAGAAACTATTTCTCTTTCTAAAATATTTTCTTCACATTTTAAATTTTTTCTTAAATGGATTATTTTAGTAGTGCCATGTAATCTTGGCTTTACAAGTGTAAGTGTTTGTAATATGTCCCTTTAGCCCTTTAGCAGTGCCATTATATATTCAGAAATCACTGTGTATCTGTAAAGAAAATGGTGATGTACTGTAGTGTAATATATATTTCTGAAACTTCTTTTTGCCTAGTTATCTAAACTCCAGTTATAAATTATCCCCTTCCTCCAGATTTCAGAGTGACATGGACAAGTGCAAAAATGTATTGCCACTCTAATGATGTCACATGCTTTTCAAATCACTTATTTCCAAGGTGGAATTTCCTTATTATTTTATTGTGCTGTTATTGAGTGTGCATTTTGTAATTTTATTTCCTGGAATGAGATTGTAATGCAAGATAGATTCTATATGCCAAAGATTAGACTTTAATGGATTGGACTGTTTTGACTGGAATATTAGAAGGATGCAATAACATGCTAATGCATTTTATTAGGCTGCCAGCTTATGTGTGTAAATGTTTCAAAAGGAATGAGACATGCATACACATAGCATACAATGTTTAATTTACTAGATTATATTTGCTTACAAAATTGTACATCTTGATTGAAAAAGATGTTTTTTTTATAGTTATCCTTTGCCTATATGGCTAGGACTATAGGTCCAGAGATATTGTTCTTGTAATTTTAAATTCATACTGCTCTCTAGTGGGGAATGCTTTCAGTGCAATAGATTATATATATATGTATATCTATATATTCATATACAACATGCATATAAACCAGAATTACTGAATTGTTACTAGTATCTATACCAATTTGGTAAAACTAGTTCTATTGCGATAGCATTTAAATCCTTCTACTACTTTGATTAAAGACTTAATTTTCTAATTTAAAAATGTTCTAGACAGATGAACTTTGAACTGAAAAGTATTTCCAGCAAATTCCAGAAGGGCTGAGAAGTTGATAGATTTATTCTTCCTCAGGAGAATCTCCTCCTTCCATTAGGAGAAATATGCTATAGGTCTGCTATTGAAAAATGTCAGTTTTTTTTTTTTTTTGAGCTCCTACATTCTTGCAATGTCTTTTGCTTTGGAATGAACTGTTTAGCCTGCTTTTTCATCTTTTGCTTTCAACATTTACACTCCTAGATTAAGAGCTGACTGTACACAGAAGTTGAAATAATATGGTCAGATCTAGTTGAGTGAGATTTAAATCTGCAGCAAGTGCAGGGGTCCTCTCAGACTGGAGTCTATACTTTCTTAAATGAAATGTGGTTTAGTTAACATAGAAGAACACAAGGCTAATTAGATAGCAAGCAAATCTGAAAACTGAGATTGAAACCAATTTGAATATTGATAGACTTTAGATTTTCTTCTTTAGATAATTTTGTCTTTGTGGTTTGATTTGAGGGCAATAAGTGTCTTCAAATCCTTGGGAAATCTGTAAAAAAATTAAACTGATGAAATTTAAGTTATTTGAAGTTATCTGAAGAACGATTTGCAACATTTTGTTGTAATCAGCCCCAAATCTGGAGGCTTGCTTAGACTTGTTTTAGACCCTGAAACTTTTCTGGATTTGGCATTAAATGTGGGATGATGGATTGTAAGAGAATAGAGACAGTGCTGAAGGCAATATCGCCCCGGAGGATTTGCAGCTGTGCTAATTACCAAAAGAGTAGGAGCAGCCTTGCCCTTAATAGGTCACAGCTGTGTCCAGTAAGGATGGGTGTTATAAAAGAGTGGATTAGCTACTCAAGAGGAGAGTTGGAAGTCAATTGGTTGTGCTGCTGTGAGAAGTCAGGCTCAGGTGGTTGTGCTAAGGATAGTAAGGGTTAGGATGTGCTGCAAGGGACAGGAAGGGTCATTAGGCCATCATGCTAGGGACAGGAAGAAGCCAGCTGTGCGGAAGAAAGAAAAGGAGTCAGTGTTGCAGGGATCTGCCTGTGAGAACTCCCAGGGGGAAGGTATGAAAGTCTTACAGTAGGATGATAAACTGATGGTCAGTCAATTGGTGCCAAGCACTGATGCCAACAACTAAAGACCCATTTTCTTGTGCAGCTGCAATAATCTTTTTTTGTCTCTAGGTTGATTGATTTGTCAATTAGAGGCCAAATAGTATCATTGTATTTAAAGTTGCAGTGATTTTGTCACTCAAAGTATAGATTAGATTCTTTGTCTAGACCTTCATTTATTCACTAAGTCTGGGTGAACAAGCACTTTAAAGATTTATATGGTATATAAAGTCTCATCAAAATGCTAAGTTGGTATAACATTTTGCATTCCTTGAATGGTAAATTAGGTTTGCAGTACTCAGAGCATTTCTTCACCTGTACCATTTCTGCTCAATTTTAATCACAGAAGCTCACGGTTACACTGGTTGCACTTGTTCTGCAAATGGAATTATCTTCTTATTTCTGTAGTTTTTGCTGTCTGGTATTAGGTGAAACTAAACTAACTATCCTTCAATTATAATCCTGGGTGGTTAAGATAAGAAACTAATAACGTGTTTATTTGTCTTTGAACGACTTTACATGAGAAAGTTATGAAGTTATTAGACTTGGACTTGAAAGCAATCACAGGAAGTGGAGAAAGGATGGCTGGGGCTGCTAAATATTTGATAAACTCAAGGGTGAGGTCTGTGCATTTAAGCTTATGGAACTAATATATAAAGGGGAGGAGGTTCTTCTGTTAATTATACCTTCTCCCCCTTTTTTTCCATTGACTGAAGGATTGGTTTGTCTTGCATTTTTTCCTCAGCTCCTGCAGTGTTTTTACCCTTTCTTACCTAAGTTATCACAGGAGGTGTTACATCTACATCTGATCTGCTCAGCTTTGGGCACTTGGCTGTGAAGTTAGCTAAGTTACATAGAACAACTGAAAAAGTTGAACAAAAAGCAAAATATATGAGTGGAAATTCAGTGTTAAAATATAAAATGCAAAAAAATTATTTTCTGCCTTTTAGTGATTTGCAGATGTTGCTGTCTTTTCTGTATTATTTTGTGTTCTCATCAGTTTTCTCTCGCGTTTTTTTTTCTTCTCAGAAAATATGAAGAAGCCCTGGAGCCCTGATTTACCAGTTGATAACCAGTCATACAATTCAGATTTTACATCTCTCCCAGACCGAGAAGGTGAGAAAGAATTAGCAGCTGATGGCACTGAAGAAAAGAAGGAGAGAGAAAAGAAGCACACCAATTTCACTTTGTGTAATGTCTGCAACATTCAGCTAAACTCTGCTGCTCAGGCACAAATCCACTACAACGGCAAATCCCATCAGAAGAGGCTGAAACAGCTCAGCAATGGAAATCTCAAAACTGATAATGGTAAGCATTATAACATATAGATCTTTGCCATGTTTTGATCTGACAATTGTAGCAATGTGTTGATATATATGGATATAAACTTTGTTTTATTCAGACAACAAATACTTTGAAGTTAAAGCAAAGGCTTTTGGTGACTTTAAAGTGCTAGAGGTCATCCGTAGCATCTGGCAAATAGCTAAGCATATACCATCTGTGTTAGTACGAGAGTTTTCATTTTATATTCTGTTTACATAATGATTTTGATTTAGATACTTTCTAATTTCATTTACATTTTGATGGTTTTCAACATAATCAGTGATATTCCATATTTCATAGTCAACTAGAAAGGTTATCCTTGTTAGGGGCGCGCTTACTTTTAATGAATGTAAGGTGGTTGTGAAATAAATTGAAACAAGTACATTACACAGAAATATATTCCCAAACTCCTTTCACTTTAACTTGCTTATTCTGAGTTCAACCCACAGCTAACATAAGTTTAACATGTTTAACAATCATGGCTGAAGTGAAAAAGAGATGGAACAAAACTTTAATCCATTTCATTGGCAGCTTTGGGCAAAGCATTTTGTAGTAGGCAACATACTCTTCATCAGAGTGAATTGTGATCCCCAAAGAAAAACACATTTGTGGCTTTTTGTACTATGGCAGATTAGATAATAGATGATCCCTGACAAGAAAAAACAAATTACTGTGCTGCAGTTTTCTCAATTTAATAACTGGTAGTGCTCAACTTTTCTGTACCATGTATAGGGTTGTACTACATTCTTCTATCTACTTCTGTGTACCATGTCAGAGAAATAATTGTCTTAATACATTGTACTTAGGGCTTTCAGACTTTCTCCATATCACACATGTTGCTTGCTGTTTTTGTGCCTTGTGTTTCTTCCTACCACACCAGCAGAAGGATATGCAAACTAGCAATCCTTAGATAGAGCTTTATATTATTATTTTAATAGTCTCTGATTTGTTCCTGCTCTAAGAATAGGGAATAACATTGATATTTGGCCTAAGTATGTTGGATGTGAGTGCTTTTTTGTGTATGAGATGTTGCTCATTTCTGTAAAACAAATAACACCCCCATAACATTTAACAGTACAATTAAATTTGTCTTTAAGTGCCAGGTGGGACTGCAGCATTTGTCAATGTTCAGAGTTCAGACTTAGGAAAAAATGCTACTACCATTAGTAGGAGCTGTGGAAATGCATAAAGAAAGATTGATTTCTGAGTTGATTGAAGGTTCAATATGGTTATCCACAAATACATTCTCCATAAAACCAAATAAACACAGTGTAATTTATTGCTATCTTTGGTTAAGGAGGAATTGTTATTGTTATTATTAGCACAACAGTTTTGCTAATGATAGAAAGATTTTTTTCTGCAGTTCATTTTTCCACTTTAATCCATGATAATGAAAGAATTAGTAATTAAGCAATCCTGAAATTAGCTTCGAATAGCTTCAATCATGGTTCAACACTTATATTCCGGAGAGGCTCAAACCAACAGTATAGCAGCATATTTCTTACTTCCTCCTGAAGAATATTCTGTTATGTGTAGCTGCATCCATTTGTAGTTAGAAAATAGCTGATTGACTATCTAGCTCTCTAACAATTATTTTGGGAGTTTATGTGAAAGTTAAGGATTTTCAAATCTGACAGATCTTTGAATATCATCAATTGTAGTACTCCAATGAGAAAATAAAGTAGGGTAGAGTATAAGTAAGGGTTTTTTCACATGTCACCAAGTTCAGTTCTCTTCAACTGAATAAATTAGACCAGTATAAAATATTTCTTGCTAGAAGTTAGAACTGAATTATAACTGAATATTTGAGTCACCATTCTCCTTGCACTTTGAATAGAGATATTGTCCCTTTTCTGGGGACAAGTATAAATCAGAACATGAGTTCTTTTACCATTATATATTTTGTTATAACTTGTAGTTCTGAAATATGGGCCATATTTTTCTGACAAATGATTATTTTGTTGATGAGACCCCAGCAAGCTCGAGTGGCATATGACCATGACTAAACAAATTATGACTTGAGCATTGCAATTTATTATGTACATGCAAATGGTGCTTTTTGAAGGTCATTGATGTAACTGTTAAACATGAACATTGTTTTCTCAATGTCTGTCAGGAGGATACTTTATTTAAGAGAATGGTGTTTCTTGTGTGGAAGTCAGATTGTCACAAAATAACTATTATGCTTGATGTCCACATTAGTGACATAATAATTCTAGAGACTAAATTCTGCTGTAAATTAAAAGTATGTAAATGTTCTTCTTTATGCATTATCTTCCAAGGTTTTATCATTATAGTTACTCATTATGTCTCAACATATAAATGAAATATCTGTACTATGCACAAGGAAACTTAATTTCTAAATACAGTGTTTCACAAAATGTACTCTGTTGTATAAGCCTTTACATTGCTGGATACTCACTTGGAACTAACATACATGAAAATGTTGGGAAAAATACTGGAGTTGTGATTTCTCATATTATTTCATCTCCAGATTATTCCCATGAAGCAGGATAGGTTTGTGTGTTCTGTATTATGAGGGGATAATAGAAAGGGAGGATTTATTAAAATGAAACAAAAGCCCATGTCTTGTTCCAAAATAATTTGCAATGGACTGCTGAACAGAGGTAGGGTTCAGCTGTATTAACATTTGACTGTGTAATTAGAGTTGTCATGCTACAGTCATCAACTTCCAGCTGTGTGAAGTAGCTTTTGTCTGTAGGATGTGAATTTACGGCATTTACTATACTTGAATAAGTCTGACTAATTTCATAAGGTAAGTTGCTTATGCACAAAGTCTGTTAACATCTGCAAATCTATAATCAGTAACTAATGTGCATTGGGGGGTTAAAAGCAGTGTTTCTTTCCTGCTCTGTTGGTATCTAGAGTGTATTTGAATAACCAGATATACTCTGAAAAGTTTTGTTAGTTGCTTATGTGTCTGTTTGGCAGCTTTACTGTACGATACACATGTGGTTCCTTCCAAGGGCAGAGCAACCTCAGAGCAGCACCCTGTGCAGCCACAAAAGGGATTTGAACCCAATGTTTCTTGTGTCATTACCTGCTACAGTGGTTTGTGATGACTTAACAGGACATAATGAGACATCAGCACTTCTGTTGCTGAAACCTGCTTGGGAGCAACACAGTTTTCTGTGGATCTTCCTCCTAATAATTGCCTTTTGTGTCTCTTAAAAAGACTTCTCACACTTTCCTCATTACACCCTAGAAAATATTCTTACCGGTGATATTTCTTTTTTTGCCTTTCTGCTCTCATGCATGCAGTGGAAAGGTGACAAAAAAGTCAGTGGAGATTTTGAGTATATTTTGGGATTAAAAGCAGGGCAAGATACAGTTCCTTTCTGGTCTGCTGACATTGCACCACTTCTCACAAAACCTGCCTGGACACTGTGGGTAGAGGTGACCTCTTGTGGGAAATTGTTTATTCTAACCAGCATGAGCAAAACTTGCATCCCTACTGACAGAATGGAAAAATAACCGTGGATGCAAACATATAGCAGCACCAGTGGGAAAGCTGATGTTTCTAAAATTTTATGTAAACCAGAATTTCTTCTGTGCATTCTTTTGTGTAAATTGCTGAATCATCGTGAGTGAATGGGCATGGTTAGGACAAGACCTAAAACTGCTTTCCTCTGCAATACTTTTTACAATACATTAGAGAACAAATAAGAAAATAATGAAGGAGGTGAGCAATGTCACAAAATTAATAGAAGTCCTTACACTTTAAAAACTGAAAAACCATTATTCTTTTGAAACATAGAAGGCAGTGAGGAATTTGGTGGTGGTTTATCTAGTTCTCTAAATTCATAAGCCAGACCAAAGGCTATCCAATTTAGTATGTTTTATTTGCTATTTTTTAAATTAAATCCAAATGCAACTTTTTTTTAAACTGAAATTTCATTAAAGCAAAATTTTGTTCTAAATAAAATAAATTTATTGTCTGACAAGGACATTGAGTACATGGAAAAAAGGAGCAAAAAGTATCACAATTGTATATATTTTTCTCCCTTGCTAATTTCAAAAACAAATCCCTTAGTTCAACACTTGATATTACTTTAGAATGAATAATGATTTGGTTGTTATGGTAATGAGTATTATAAAATATGCACTAAAATGAAATGTTTATTTCCCATATTTTATTCTTTTTTCAACCTCATTCAATAGTTGAATATGGTTTCCTACAACTCTTGACATGGCAGTTTCATTAAATCTATGCAAATTTTTTTGCACACTGGTTAGAGAAAATGTTTAATCTTTTGCGACTTTTATTTTGCATCTAAATCCTTACTTTTTACTAGTCTGTAGGTAGGAAATCCAGGTGATTAATCCAAGCTTCTTGCAGAGTTTCTGTCCTTGCACTTTTATGTTGCTGTTCATTTTCAGTCTCCATGCTACCATTGCATTTTAGGCCTCTGCTGTCATGTTTTGTGATGATGAAAACTGACAGCTTTGAGGTAGACACATTCTTACTTTTAGGTGGTAAACCACCAAGTTAGGGCTTTGGGAACTGGTGTCATCTCTTTTCATTGTGTTTGCTCTCCTATCAGAGGACTAAGAGTGGATGGGACATTGGAGAAAAGAGAAAGTCTTCAGAGAAAGTGTATATTTTCTTTCAGAACAGGTGATTTTCCATTAATTTTCTGGGATTCAAAAAGAATTGTCAGATCAGCTTGAGATGTCCCCGGAAATCACGTATCTAGCAAACACTTTTTTTGAATGTCCTATTCTGATTTAGAACTTCATAAATCTAATATGTATTTTCCTCTGGGTTTAAGCTTCTTGTATGTGGGTCATACATGCCAGTATCTTATAAAGCATCACAGCAGGTTCCTTCTGGGAATTTGTAATATCTCTCAAATGTCAAAGCTGGAGATTTTTGGACAAGGAGGACTGGCTAGGGGCAGTGTGTTGTCACTTCCATTGTTTCCAAATGTAAATCTTCCTTTTTATTTCAAAGCACTTGTCTA